AGAACAGAACAGGAGCTCTCGAGGTTAGCTGAGTTCTACACGTATAATAAAGGGAACAGCAGTCGACGTCGGGCATCAAGGAGATGCGGCCATTGCCAATAGCAGCAGGTGCGAGTAGGAAAGCAGACAGAAGATAAAATCCCTAGAAAAGCACTAGTGACAATTCTGGAAATTCACACCCTTTCAAACGTCTCATACTTTGCTACAGTTAGGCCCGCAAGGTTCGCCCCACTTTAAAGGGACTCCTTTACATTGTTATTCGTAAGGAGATGACCCCTCGATACGAGAATTTCACTGCAATACGACTGTCGTTACTCTCTGCTTATCTACAACCTACCCCTATCGTCTTCGCTTTATTATCTTTTTTTATTTTTTTTCTACCCTAACATTACGTACTGTAATAATATACCAGAACTCTTGAAATGCTCGTTTCTTTACGATACGATTTTGCGATCGTCAGTTATATCGCCCTAGCAGAAATCATTGACGATCATCAATCCTATTCGATTTCTCCTATAGCCAGAACCACATGTTTCTCCGTGATGTGCGATCAAAACGTCATTTCCCGATATAGATCCGGGCTCCATCCATTTCGCGGAATATTAAATTCAGCAACGGAACATGGAAGTCTGTGTGATATGATTTTTTTTTTAATTTCTCTCGCGTAACAATATCTCACGTGCGTTCGTCATAAATCGTCTTGTCGATATACGAAAGAGCGAAACGCTCCCCCCTGTCTCAGTAATTATACTCTAATTATTAATTACAGAGCTGCAAAGCCATCCTACACGATTACCATCTGCTAACAAGACGCTCCTTAGCTGACTAACTATCTACGTGACTCTCCTATATAACACGGGATGAGAATTCCACGTGGCTCTTGCCGACTACACTCATGCCCCTGGCACCTTCCATCATTCCAAGTGTGCGTACTCCACTCCTTATTCCCTGCAATTTTCCATGCCAGATCTCCTTCCCAAGAACCCATAACATCGTAAAACTGTCCCGTAAATCCTTTCGACTCTGAAAATCGTAGAAAGCCGCACGACCTTAAATCCCAATATTCCATATGGTTATGTTTATCCGATAGCATATTTATAACTATACGAACCTTAAGAATTGCAGTGAAAAATAAATCGTAAGTAAAGATAAAAAAAATCACACCAGCCTATGGTCTATTTCAACTATACCTCAGCAGCTGTAAAGATTCAAAGGACAATGGTGATTACTGCTCGAACCGTCGTCAGGATAGAAGTAAGTGGTCGTGGGATCGGTAATAAAAGATCTCGGTAAATTCGGCAAATTATTAATAATCAGGCAGGTGTTTGCGCGTATACAAGATCCGCTTAACGAGACCGATCGAAGGAGTAGCGAGTAGGTGAGGCCAACGTAACATAACCAGAGGAGGCGTAGGACGAAGAAAGAGCGTAGAACGAGCAGAGTTGTAGAGTGAAGGAGCAGCGAGAGGGCTAAGAGAATGAGAAGGTTAGGTAAGGGAAGCGAGACATATAATTATACCGACCGTCCGAATCGTCGGGGTTCGCTCTCTGGCTTGTCCGTGGCGTGAAGGCAGCGGCGTATGATTACCCACTTGGCACTAACGATACAGGAGGTTCTCGGAACAGAAATTATTATACGCACTGCGGACGTTTTAGAATTTATTCATCGATAATATCAATCGTATCGATCGAACTTATTGGATCGAATTCAATAGCATCTCAAGCGGAGCACGGTAGCTTTTTTTGAAAACATTCATAATTCGATATTAATTTTTATCGCAAGGACAGTTCATTTCTTTCGATCGATAATATTCGAAAGGAACACTGAGTAATCTTTTACCGTTGTCTCTTTGATATGGTGGCAATAAATTTTTTAATAGTGAGTGTACCGTTCATTTTTGACTTCCGGAGATCCGAAATTCTGACTGATAAGTAACAATGATTTGCGCTCGTTAAAATTTCATGGGACGCCGACGAGAGCGCGTTCCTAAAGCCATCGTAAATTTTCCAAAGGTCCATTAGCCCGGAAATTAATACAGCCTGTCGGAATTCTTATCATTAATATTAATACTGTCGAGTGGAATATTAATATCGCACGTATATGGATGCTTCCATGAAATAAACGTGTCTCTAAATATGATGGATTGTTAACAAAATGTTAAAGTCTTAGAGAATTTACTGATAACGGAGCAGAACCTAATATCCAGTATTACGAATTGCTTCCTTGAAGGAGACGAAGAAAATATCTGCAATAAACGAAGCAAAAGAAATTTTTTTATCTTGCAATTCTCGTAACGATTTTGTTCGTAAGATATTATCTGTGAATCCATACAGGTATTAGGAGCCAATTTTCTACTAACGACGCCACGTGCTCGACTTTACTTCTCTTCTCCTTTATTCCTACTTTGAACCTGCGATCCTCTCTTAGCACCTTGCCGACTTTTTGCAACGCCACTGGGCTCTCCGCAGATTCGCAAAAAAAAAAATAGAAACAAAGAAACTGGCAAGAACTCCTATTAGCTGTCGAGAGGAAGTTTTGCTTCCGCCGTTCGTTGCCCGGGGTGCCCTTAATTCCAGGCGCAAAAATGAAATTGTTTGCATCTCTTGGCTATTATCAATTTCGCATTATTACACCGTGACGCAGGTGGTAACTGCAGTAATTTTGCTTTATTGTTTTTCAATTACTTTTTTTGCACGAAAATTTACAACCACCTTTTATGGCTCTCCTTCGTTTAATAGTACCAATAGCGGATACAGCCGATCGATAGAACATTAAAATCGGGTGTCTATATATTTTTAAATCACAGTGATAAAAAGTGACATATTTTTTTTTTCTTCGCAAATTTATATCATATTTAATAACTGCATGGATACACGTAGTGTCACGTAAGATACGAAGTAAATTATTAAGAAATCAATTGATTTCCACTTTCAATAGTTAATAATCAATCTGGTTATATCAATAAGTAACGATGTGTATAATCGAAGACTATCTGTAAAAGACTATCCGGTTAGATTGTTTTTGGGCTGGCAGGTGTTAATAGTGAATTAAAAGAGTGAGACGGGAAAATTCGACAGAGCGTAAAACGCATTTCTGTCGCTAGCGTCGATTTCACGATTCGCTCCACTCGTCTGGCACGAGCGAATTTCACAGTTACAACGTGAAATCGAAGAATCGCTATTTTAGCACTGCACTCCATCCTAGGATTTTGCAAATAAACATGCAGATACAACGAATACCTGGAACGCTCACTTTAATATAGAAAATGACTAATGAGAAACGCATAGCAGAAACAAGTGATAAAAGGTACAATTAAAATGCGTATAAAAAAGTTTGGCAATGAAGAATAAATGAAGGACACAAAGAATTTTGTGCGGAAAATTAACCGTCAGAAAATTTCATTGATGACAGGAGTATGAAAAAAAAAAAGGAGAACAAAATTGTTTGCTCCCTGCAAGCGAGGGAAGAAGAAATTAACGTCAAGCGTGCGAACGAAAGGAATAAACGAGGGAAAGAAAATTAAAAGATTGAACATGAAAATGAAACAAAGTAACAGGAGGTAAGGAAACAGGGGTTTTGATTCGATTGGAAATGAAAACGTTAGTCTGAGAAAAGGCGTTAAAAGCTCAATGAAAAGTGGGAAAAGGGAAGAGTAAAGAGGAAAAGCGACGTCGCGTAAAATCGCTGGAAATGACGTGTAATCGCGAGGTCACGTGGTACGAAACAAAAGAAATCGTTAAAATCTCGAATAAATCGACGAAAACGTTAACGGTTTTGCCTTTGTTCCTTTTCATCCCCATTTGCACCACACCCTCCACTTTATTTTGCCACTTCTTTCTCCGTCTCTTTCTTTCCTCCTTATTCACTCTAAATCTCTCTCACTCTCTCTCTCTCTCTCTCTCTCTCTCTCTCGCAGGACGGGAATGGACGTCCCACCTTCTTCTCCCAGCGCACGTTAATGGGAAAGCGAATTCACTCTAAATCTCTCTCACTTTTGTTCCTTTTCATCCCCATTTGCACCACACCCTCCACTTTATTTTGCCACTTCTTTCTCCGTCTCTTTCTTTCCTCCTTATTCACTCTAAATCTCTCTCACTCTCTCTCTCTCTCTCTCTCTCTCTCTCTCGCAGGACGGGAATGGACGTCCCACCTTCTTCTCCCAGCGCACGTTAATGGGAAAGCGAAAAATTCATAAGAAGCGATCGCACCCGCAATGCTCCACTGGAAAATTGGATTTTCTACGCGAAGCTGAGCTCGAACGTGTCTCGTTAAGCAACAGCTGAAATTTTCGCTCCGCCGTTCCACTTCCGTCGCCTCGTTATAGGATAGATACACACATACCTAAGTGAAGACAAAATCGACATAACGTGTCGTAATATATATACATTATACAGACATAAAAAATGCATATAGATATATACATATATCTGTATACTATATGTACATACATACATATGGCTACATGTATAAATGTATATAAAATGAAAATGGATTGAAAAGGATACGTAATAGGGAGAGAGAAAGAGAGAAAAAGAGGAAACTAATATTTGTACATTATTCTAGAGAAAAGGTAATACTTTCGCGATCAAGAAAAATATGTAACCTGATGCGTAGTAAATAGATTAGTGAGATAATTAATTGAATTAATTGTTTAATGAAATTCTTAGTTAAATAATAAAATGCATTTTCAAGTAAATCGAAGTAATTTCTAGGATTATCCAGGCGTGACAATGCGTAATGCATGGTATGCAATGCGCATATACTACATCCGCATACGCATTTCGAGATACCGAGGAGATTGCGGCTATTACGACCACGCTAGCTCCTATCTGCAATTCCGACAATTACCTGTCAACTTGCACGATTACACGTTCGCTTACGCACGCGTAACCTACGCATTTCGCCGAATGCGACTCGAAATCCCTGTAATACTTTTATTTAAACTCGCATTCTAACTAGGATATAAGGTATAACAATTGGGAAATAAGAGAAACTCAAAATTATCATGCAGAAATTCATAATATTTTAATACATTTTCCTAGCGCTAGTAATTCTACAGAAACGTATAATATTTTACAACATTTTTCTAGTACTAGCAATTATACATAAATTTCATAATAAATTCATTTTTGTCTATGGTAATTCTACCTCGTCGATTGACGTTTCAGTTGAAACAGGTTCCACTTCATCCACCTCAGACGTGCTGACTACGTTCACTATAGCGTAAATATCTAATTGCACGTCCAATCCGGTACCAGGTGTACCAATTGCCGCAACGACGACACTACTGTTCCCAATGCCGCCCTTGAGCACTGAAATTGTTGCTTCCGATCCAGCTGCATTCACTGCAGTTATCGCAGTTATTCTGCCGACCACGTTGAATCCAGACTTGGCAACCATAACCTTGCCGGGTATAGGGGGCTGTTTAAAATAGAAACAAAAGAAAGTATAAAATATGCATAGTTTTAAATATATAAGATAAAAATTTTTAAATTGAATAAAGTTTTTCAAAAAATTATGTTGATTGTTTTTCTCAATTTTATGCATGACTGCATATCAAAGACGTGAAACTTTCTTATGCATTTCTCGCAAAAAAAGGAATCCATATGCATGGATATGCATGCGTGCGCAAATTCACGTAATTTTTTGTCGGTTACATTCCGGACGAATCGTTGAACGAATGGGGTTGAAATTTTCTGGGAAAATCAAATTTCTCATGCGAATGGAACAGTAACATTTAGGGGTACAATAAAGCGCTTCCGCGAATTTCAGATTATTCTATATATGATCTGCCGCCAGGCGTATTATTCTTGTGAGCAAAATTGCGAACGAACCACTGAACCGATCAGGTTGAAATTTACAGAGAAAACCAAATTCTGAACGCGGATGGAACAATAACGTTTATACACATCTGGATCGTCCGGTTTCAAATTGGGCATTTCGCATAATTAATTTTGTTTACAGTAGCGAACGTACAAAGCGTAACCGTAATTTGTGCGATCATGCTAAAAAATTATTTATCTAAATTTTTTTTTAATTCAAATTTCTTACTCTGTAAAGACGTCTGCTGGCCACGAGAGCGTCGCCTTCCTCGCGACTGCCCAGAGTTAAATCATTCCCCGCAGTAGAAATTCCCACCAAAAGACAAAGTACCAAGAGAATCGTGAATTGAGCCATTTTTAATGTTTAATCCCTGAGATATTTTCTAACACTATCTCTGTATTACTTCTGCCGATCACGATTAGGATGCTTTTACTGCTCCCCAGCAGACTCGCTAATGTATTTATATGTATGTCCTTATCAATAAACAAAGAACCCACGTATCGTCGACTGACAACAACTTACATAAGTCTATTTGTCCTACTGATATTTTTACCTCCTTCATTCTTTCTCTGTTACGTATTATAAATATTTTACCGTCCGCAAAAATGCACTGGAAAATTTCATCACTTGATCGCTCGTACTGAGTCGAGTATTCTTAGAAATTAAAAACACCCGCAACTGGTACAGTGCACTTATGAAGATTCTGAAGTTAGTTGGCATGTGTGCAGCTGCATTTGATACTGTATCAGAAAAATTGTTAATTCTTTTGAAATTCATAATCATCATTGATTCAATAAATCTTCCATTATATGCGTTTAATCGTTTGAGTCCCAAGCAGTGCGATCGCGCTGTTCAGATTTTGTGTCGAGAAAACCCAGCACATTTCGTACATATGTATATATAGGGAAAGCGCGGTTACGCTGTTTGGGATTCTTCGACAGTGTTTTTTCAATACCGTCTGGGACTCAAACGGTTAGTAACTGTAAATTTTTTAATAATAAATTGTGTATTTGTTGTAAATAAATTGTTCGTATAAATTATTATGTAATTTAACTGAATAATGACAAAACAGGTTTTTAAAAATATTTTTTCGGAAATTTATTAAAACTGAACATTTTAAATGGATAACAACGAAGCAATAACAAAGCTGATTAAGATCGTAGGAAATTAAAAAAATACTGGACATTGGACGCTTGATTCTCTAAGGCTTTCATCATTATATCTCTTTGTCGATCCCCAGAACCCTTGACTGGTTCTAGAAACAATGAGTCAATATCGATGTACTCGAATCTGTTGATCACCAAGTCGACTGGGGGCCTGATAACTCGTATAATATTGATAACTGAAACGTAGGAAAATTTTAAATCTCGATAATCATTGACACAACAGATTACAGAAATGATTGGAATTCTTTGCCAGAAGAAATTCCATTCTACTAATCTCCAAATGAGATCAATAAATATTTTCTATAATATTATTTCGCTAATATTACAAAAACAATTATTCGATAATAGGTAAAAAAATATATTTTCTGAAACTATGATTAAATTAATTGTTGAGAAGTCATGCCGATAAATATATTCAAAGTTATCAAAATTACAAAAGAGTCTTCCATCAATTTCTTGAATCTCTCGAATATATCCGAATCGTCGTTCTCTCGCGACATTATTTTCCCGAGTCCTTCTTTTTCCCGAAAATTCATGTTTCCGAATTTTCGGAAAACTTTCCGCAACGTTATTTTACTGAATCGTAATTTTCTCGAAAAATCCCAACTTCCCAAATGTGACAAATTTCCGGAATGAATTTAAATGTAGTTATTCGGGAATATGAATTTTTGGGAAAAAGATAGGGACTATTTTTAGAAATACCTTTGAACTTTTCAATGAGGCATTTCGCAGAAAGAATAATGATTGTCCTTTGTAATATTATCCTGAGGCGTCAAACATCCCTCGAGATAAAAAAAAAAGGAAACACAGGACACTCCACGCAGCAAGGAGTTGCTCGTTCGAGCGTAAGGATATAGGAAGAGCAGTGCCTTTCGCTGTCGCAAATTGCTCGAGCAGGACGAGGGCAGCCCAACCCCTACCCTCACACCCTGAAATCACGTCCTTTGATCCTAACCACTCTCTCGTTTGCCACCTACGGTCCCACCCTATTTTTCTACCCACCATTGTATTAATCTTTTGACCATGATTTTACCCGATTTGTCGAACAAGGATTCATACAAAATCACACGAAATTGGGCAAAGGATTCTTTTACCTCAATGCTCATAATTTTGGGAATTCGTATATGTACTTCGAAGTAAAAAAAATTGTATAAATTCAAAGATAATTGACAACAAAGGAAACAACGGGTGACCGTAGAAAGATATTGGTATATGGTTGAGGCATTTGTTTATTTGATAAAATAATAACAAAAGCACAATGGCACTTTTAATTCGCGACTGTGAAACCAGCAGTGTCCAAAGAATACCAACATCGTATTGCAAACATCGTTAAACATCCTTTTTACCAAGTATCGAAGAAAAGGTTCTTGGAAATAAGAATCAGGCACGCGTGTATCAATCTTACAGCAGGTTGCCCGTCTTATCTTCGCCATTTGATATCAAAGGATTCGATTCACCCTCTGCCATATCCTTTGCCTTTCTTTCGTCTCAGCTCGTCGCGACGCTCACGGTTTAATATCAGACCTATTGGCGTCATCTTTTGCGTGCCTTTAGGCGTCCCTCTTCCGCAGCTTTCCTCCGATCCAGAAACGCCATCATCCAACCCTCCCAAAGTAGAAGCTCTAGCCCCAGCGAATTTCAAGAATGTTAACAAAAGGATCCTAGGCGTCGATCCGCGGAATTGTTCCGCGATTTCTACTCGCAATTTCACCAACGCAAATCCCCAGAGAATATCGAGTAAAGATCCCTGATTTCATGCATCGCTAATTTCAATCCTTTGCACTCCCTACATATAATACGTACAAACCTGCCTGGATTTCAGTTTGGAGGATGTCAATGATTTTCACGATATTTCATCCCATAAATCATAAAGCAATACTAGAGAATCTGGCATATCTAAGAGAAATTTTCAATTGTAAAATAAGTAACTAATAAAATGCGGTGCCCTCGGCGCAGAACAAAAGAGTAACATCTTAGCTAAAGTTTTAAATACTTGAAAAATAAATTTTGTATGACTTTAAAATACAATAAACGTTGACTTTGCGAACGAGTACATTTCGCCACATTAGACGCTCTTTCCGCTAATGTACTTCAAATAGGACATGTGCCTTAAGGGGAACGTTCTTGCATTTCTCGATTGAAACTTCCCTTAGAAGGCACGGAATAAGAAAGCATGCACGTCTGAATAAATTCAATATAAAATTTGGGCAAACTTGATGATGAATTCAATAGGTTTGTTGCATGTCACTTATTAGGTTAAGTTTGCTTACGAATAGAGTATCGTAAAAATTAGTTCCTCCGTATAAAAAATTAATAATTCAAGAAAGGAAGTCTCATAATTTTTTATAATAATCAAATACAACGTACAACTCGACGAAAGCAGCGAGTGCCGGACAGAAGAAAAAATATACATCCGTTATATGCAATGTTTACTCTGTCGTTAATTGCTACATATGTTAAATGAATTGAATAAGGGTTGGTTAAATATTTTATGAAATCGTATTATACGGAAATAAGGGCGCGCCATATTAACGAAAGCACCACATAAGACGTCACTCTCCTAAAATCATTAATTAATTTAACGATTTTTACGTACCGTTACTACGCTGTACCATCCGAAACGAACCCCATGGAAATTATGGGACTCTAGAAAGAAATGAATCAAATGTCGAGCTTTTTAAGAGTTTATACTGAATATTTATTTCTTGAAAGGGAATTTATGAATTCTAAAATGCTATCAAAATAAAATCATTTTCCGCTGCTTGAAGCTTTGTACATACACAATAGACACCCTATTTCAGCCTATACACGGGGGTATGTTGACTCTTATAAATGATTATCCCTCGCGAAAGTCGAAGGGTCGTCAAAAAGTGTTGTCTCAGTCAATATTGACTTTTTGCGAAAATGGTTCTCGTGTGGTGCATGACGTGCGGCTCACGGACGAAAACATTTTTCGCAGACGACTCCTCTCGCGAATTCGAGATCATGGCAAGGCTCGTACCATAATGCGAATCGTTTCTTTATCCAATCGAATCGCACGAAAGAAAATTCCTCTGTCTTGCTCAGATCGATTTCGAATTTTTCTAGCGTACCTAATCTATAGTGTCTGACTGGCAATTACTCTTTTCCCTTTTTTTCTTCTTCCTACATTTTCTCGCTTCTCTTTTATCCCCTTCCGCTCGGAAAAGTTCCACTTTACGAGTACGCCGAGTCGATCTTAACGACGATTTTTGTCTTTATGGAAAACCGATGGAATCGACTGTTCTCGTTTCGAGAAAAGCGACCGGATCGATCAATGAGAATAATAAAAGTCAAACGAAAACTCATGATGAATTTTACCAGCGACAATGGGGAACTACGTATTATACCTTAGTACCACGACCCTGGCCCAAAACTTGATAAAACTATACCTATTTCCAATAGTCTTTATACTCGACTCGTAAAAAGAGCGCCAAAGGGTTAGGCGCTCTACCGAGGACTCAGGCCCTGCACGTACTACGTGGGTCAACGGAGTTTCCGTGAATTTTCGAGTTAGCACCGGCTAGTTTTATGAGCCGCGAAATTATCAGCCGGGTCGAGATGCAAAGCTTTACGATCCTCCGCCGTAAATCCCGGTCCATTTAACGCGTCGGCCCATATTCCCGGGGCCTTAAAACTTTCAACTTCCTCCTTTTGCATCTCTGTGCATTTCGTGCTACTTCCTGCGACGTGCTTACGTTTCCTGTTGACATTCCGAAAAATTGGAAAAATTTCCTCTCCTTAAAAAAAAGTATAAATCTTGTTATACATATATAGCTTAAACGCATTGCTCCTCTCTATGTAGATAAAGTTTATCATACATTTTTTCAACGTTTTATAAAAACCCACAACGACACCTGATTTTTTTTTTCAGCAATACTTATCATATATGAATACAGCAAGTATACTGCAATCAACCAAGAAAAATCCTAGATTAACTTTCAAAAAAGACTATCTATTTATATTATGTAGGACAGTCCTGAGTACTCAGGTTGTTAATTTCCTGTAGAGGATGCCACAATAAAGGACAAAGCTTCTCGCGCACGTGTGTTCTTCCTTGTTCCCAGTAGCAGTCAGTCCCGTTCCGGATGGGTTCACTATAGTATACCCGACCAACCCACCCCCAACCACCCTGCCCTTAGGCGATGAACGTGACACTTTCCGCAATAGACAGAGTTGCGAGAGGATAAAAGGATTTAAAATCAAAAAGAACAACGACAATTCCTTCGTAGAAATTGAAAAGTCTCGTCGTTAAAGACAGCTGGAAAATC